GATACATTGCACAGTGAGGGAAATAGAAGAGGTATCTGGCCAGTTTACACCATTTTGTCAATATTTCTGGACTTCTTTCTTAGACTGGTCCATTTGTTAGAGAGGAAGTCTCTAACTTTTTACCTGAAGATACACTCAATTGTAAGGTTAATGGAGGAGAGAATGAGGCTGGTTTGGGAGAATTCTCACTGTTTGAAATACAGATTTTTTCACTTTTCTCTGCCAGTTTTCATCACACCTAATCTGGCCTTAGTTTTGCCTGGGGTCTCTGAGTTTAAAGTACTTTATTTGATCTCCGTAGGTCAGAGTTGGGAAGGGATTTTACCTGCTTTCAATATGATCTTCAACCAATTCTTTTGTTTTAGCTCTAGCCTCCTTCTCATCTGCAAGGATTCTTAATGCTTCCAAATTCATAATCCTTGTGGGCTTCTACAATGTAAATCAGCTGGTCTCTCAATCTCCTACAAGCAGTTAGATTTCAACTTTCTCTTCTCTGCTAAGACAATTACCTCTAGTTTTTTGGGTTTCTTAAGGGGATCCTAATAATGGCATTCCTTCTTTGTGCAAGGGTTCTTAGCTAGCGATAAGTAAACTAAAAAGTAAATATGGACATAAGCATATCACTGTATTACTATTAGATGCCAGGTTGGAGGATGCAGCTTAGTGTGAGAGTCAATGAACCTGCTCACTGTCTCCCAAAATCAAGCAGCCTGGGCGGGGGAGACTTCAGTGAGAAGGAGCAAGGATTAATGTGTATTCTTATAAACAGGTTCCCTTTCCTAAGAGCAAGGAGAATGAAGTGGAATGGATCACAACACAGGGTGGATGAGTAAAAGTCTGAGAGGGGTCTGGTTATACTAATTGGTCCTTTTCACAAGAAGGAAAACTGAAGTAAGGAAGAAGCATTTCTGAACTACATGGTTCATCAGCTTACAGATTCCAAAATTTTGTTGAGCTCTCTCATTAGCTGTCTTCTCTTTGCTCAATCTCTTTATCCTTTTGTGTTTAGATCTGAAATTTTTTTTTATTGAGATATAATTGACATAGAACATCATACTAATTTTAGGTATACAACATAATGATTAGATATTTGTATATATAGTGAAATGTTCAGTATTATGTCTAGTTAACATATATCACCACACATAGTTTCAAATCTGGGTTTAGGTCTTGTTCTTTCAAAGACATTTTAGTAAGATTTGGGAAGATATGGAAACAAAGTATATTAAGTTTTTTATGTTTAGCCAGAGGTTTCAAGTTATTTTTTTAAAGTCATCTCGTAATTGAAGTTACAAATTTCTTTCTTTTTTTTAATCCTCACCCAAAGATATGTTTATTGACTTTAGGAAGAAATAGGAAGGGAGAGAGAGAAAGAGAGAGAGATGGATGTGAGAGAAAAACATCAATCAGTTGTCTCCTGTACGTGCCCAGTCCAAGGATGGAACCTGCAACCCAGGCCATGTGCCATGACCAGGAATTGAACCTGCAACTTTTTGGTGTATGGGACAACACTCCAAGCAACTCAGCCACTTGGCCAGGGCAAGGTTACAAATTCCTTTCAAGGCAATTATTTATTATCTGTGCTGAGGAATACAATGATGCAATAATCCTTAGAATGCAAAAATCTCTAAATCATTTCTATTTGATACTGCAATATGGATTTCTAGGAGATTTACTCTTCTGATATTGTTTGACTTTGGCTAACGTTAGAACTAGCTTGCACTCTATCGGCACACAAAAAGGTGACTCAAATTGGAAAATCTCAACCTAGAATTCTAAATTTTTTAGATTTTCACAGAATTTCATATTCACATAGCAATAATCAAAGGTTTACTGTAACAATATTTATGCTTCCTTTTTCACCATTACTTATCCCTACAGAGAAAAGGATCCCAAATTAAAGAAAAAAATGAGATTGGAAGAAACCTGGAAAATGTAGGGTAATTTAATTATTTTATAGTATTCATGGTGCCAATCAAAACCTATTCTTAAAAATATCTGATAATATCTTCAACTATGGTTTAATAAAATGATTAAGTTTTATTTGTTATCCTGGAGTGTTTATATCTCAACAGGGATCATACTATCGCATATCTATTTGTGGCATTTTGGGCATCAGTAGGGTGTAAGAATGATATTTTAGGGAGCAGGCATATTAAACGCACATGACTTAAACAGCATTATAGTGCTCACTTGGAAAAGGATTTGAACTTTGCCCAGAGGAACTGGGTTTGAGATTTATCTTCACAATTAATAATCATAGGACCTTGGACATACTCTTGTTTTAGTTATCTATTGCTAAGAAATCACCTAAAAACTGCATGCTTTTTTAACTTAAGATTTGAAATTAGGCCAGGGCATGGCCAAATGGCTTGTCTCTGCTCCACTTGGTGTTGGCATGCTTGACAAGGGCTGGAGGACCCAAGATGACTTCACTCATGAGCCTGGGGCCTCTGTTAGGGTAGCTGGGGCAGCTGGGGGATGTCTGGACTCTCTCTTCCTTCATAGTTGCTCACCTTCTGGGGCTTGTCTCTCTACATGGCCTCTCTCTCCAGCAAGGTAGTTGGACTTGTTCCCATGAGAACTAGCTCTTGGGACAGCGAAAACAGAAAATGCCAGAAGGGCTAGGCCCAGAACTGGCACAGTGTCATTTCTATCACGCTTTATTGATGAACGCAAAGCCTAGCCCAAATTCAAGGGGAGGGGAAGTAGATTCCACATCCTGATGGGAGTACCCATGTGTGCGTGGGCGTGGGAGAAATTGTTGGTCGTCATCTTTGGAGACAGTTTACCCTGCCACTTACCTCAGTAAACTTCAGTTTTTTCCCCTTTGGAATGGTAACTCACCTCTGGTAGATATAAATATAAAAATATAGGTATACATCCCTTAACTCTAAGGCTCTATTCAAATATAACAACGTTCCTTGCCTGGGAGGGTGTTGACATAGAAGGTTTCCAGAATATTAGCACAATGGGCATGTAGAATTGTTGGTGTAATCTGAGTACTGAATATCCGTCGTGGCACTAAGGGGAGCAGTAGTGACCTGTTGGATGGTTTTCTGGGACAGGATTTCTCAGAGGTATGGGTAGGAATAACTTCTGGTGGTTCCAAATCACTCTGAATTTGAGAGAGAACGCACTGGCATTAGCTGCACTGGCTTAGTTTTATCTTGAGACTGAAAATTAACTAGTTTGGAAAAGGGAAAGTTAAAAAAGTTAAGAGGAAGAACAGTCTGTTGTTATCCTTCACTGCTACTCCGTTGCCTGTTCCTCAAGAAGGCATCAACCAAACTATTTATTTCCTAGTGGGAGTATGAATTTAAACTGCCACCTGAGAGTAATTTGAGACATAATCAATTGCTAAATGTGTGTTGAGTACCCACTGTGTGCTCAACACTCTGCCAAAGCCTGTGAGTAATGCCAGAGAAAGCCACGTTGCTGACTTGGTTTCTCTCCAGAAATTCCAATGTGGTTGGGTGAACCAGAACCACATGACATATAAGAGATGTAGCAAGGCAACATGGGATAAACGCTGGATAAACAGAACATTTATGAAGTCCTAAGAAAATCGTAGAAAGTAAAATCCTTTTGGTTAAGGTAGAAGAACAGCATAAGGAACACTAGAAAGAGCAGAATATCACCTGTACAGAGCAAAAGGGCACTAGTGAGGCTTGGTCAGAAAAAATATGTTCCAATTACTACTGCTGCATAACAACACTAAATTTAGAAGTTTAAAACAATAATGATCATTTTATTATCTATGGTTTCTGTGGGACAGGAATTTGAGGAGGACTCAGCTGGATGGTTCGTGCTCAGGATTTCTTATGTGCTCGCAATCAGACAGTGGCTGGGGCTGGAAAAGTTGGGGGCTGGGTGGGTACCTCTCACTTTCTTCATGTAGGCTCAAGGTGTCTCCATGTGGTCTCTCCTATAGGTTAATTTGGGCTTCCTCAGAGGGTAGGTATTTGGAGAGAAGGCCATTGCCTCATGTAGGGTTCTCCAGGAAGCAGACTCTGAGATGGCAATAGCATTCAGAATATTTATTGGGAATGATACTGGTCTCAGGAGAAGGGAGCAGGATCAAGCAGTGGGAGAAACTGAATGGCAGCGCAGGGGTGCTTGGGAGCTGGGATGAATGACCTTTAAAGTTTGTTTAAGTCAGGGCAAAGGGCTGGCTGGACCTTTGTACATTTGCATTAAGGGAGGTATAACTTTGGGCAAGGCAGTTTTCTTCAGGGCTGACAGCTGAAGATCATCTTCCAGCAGTACTTTCAGCACTGGCGGGGAATAGGTGCTTCATTCCTGAAGGAAAATCGGGGTGGTGCGTTGCAGGGTTTATCACAGCCCTCACAGATCTGTGGCTTTCAGTCGAGGCCCTCTTGTAACGACCTGGCCCTGAGGAAGGGGGATAAGTACTCCGACCTCACTCTTCTCCACTCTGCTAATTGCCCACAGGCCAAACTCTGGGTGTTTTAAAGCACAGAGCAGGATGGAGAAGGGCGAAGCGCGCCTCTGAAGGGGCAACAGAAGATACTCAGCAACAGCAGATGAGTTTAGTTTTTTGAACACTAAAGACAGGATGAGTTAACTAATATCATATCTTATTGTTGGATTAAAGGGCATGCTCTGAATCACCCTCTTACTCATCCCTCTCCTTGCTCCTTTGCTTTCATCCACATCCTAGTTACTTACCCTCACTCACTCTCCATTCTACCATTTAAACTCTGCCTCATTACTTCTGCTTAAGACATGTTCTAGTTTATGAGTTTGGCTTTTCCCCTGATCACATTTCATTCTTTCATCCACTTAGCATCCTACTCCCATCTCCTAGCCTGATAATGTTCTTCATTCAACTTCTTTCCAAGCACCTTTCTTTCTCTGCACCAGCCCTACGAGGAATCTTTTCTCCCCTAGCACCTTAATTATCCTGGCTTCTTGATTAAGACTGTAAAGAGGTAAGTTTCAAGGTATTGAGGTAATGCAGGTAACAGATGACAGAAGTGGTCGCTTCGGCAGCACATAGACTAAAATTGGAACGATACAGAGAAGATTAGCACGGCCTCTGCACAAGAAGGACACGCAAATTTGTGAAGTGTTCCATATTATTTTTCATTTATAAAGAAAAAAAATGACACGAGGGTGGGGACAATGGATATGGGGAGAAGGCTCACTTTGGTGGATTCCTGTCTAGGTTGACTATGGTGTACTCTTTTTTTAAGTTTGTTTTATTTTTTTCAATTACAGTTTACATTTAGTTATTTTGTATTAGTTTCAGGTGTACAGCATAGTGATTAAACAATGGTATTTTACAAAGTGTTCCGCTGATGTTTCTAGTATCCACCTCACAGCATGAATAATTATTGCAATATTATTGACTATATTTCCTATGCTGTAATTTACATCCCATGACTCTTTTGTAACTACCAATTTGTACTTCTTAATCCCTTCACCTTTTCACCCAGTCTCCCAAACTCTTCTTCCCTCAGTCAACTACCCCTCTATTCTCTATGAGTTTGTTTCTATTTTGTGTGTTCAGCTATCACTTATATGTTGGTGACTCCTAAACCTGAACTCCTTTCCTGAATTCTCTTTGGGATTCTGAACCAGAGTACCAGACTTGGCAGTGCCTGGTGGGATCTGAGCACAAGACCTCTAGAGCTGGTATGAAAATGTGCTTTCAGATTTTGTTTGCTCTTTCCCCACCGCTTCCCTTGGTGTTTAACTCTTCCTTGAATTGTTCCTCAGTTCATTGGGGTTCAGTTTTCATATCATCCTGGCTTCCTTTAGCCTCATTAAAATAAGCAAATAAGCAAACTTAACTAACTCCAAGTTGCCCCCCTAGAGTTGTCACTTCACATAAGAAGCTCTCCCTCTCTGCCTGTTCTCACTTTCCCAAATTTCCCTTTCAGGGAATTCAAAGGAAACACTTAGCAAGGAAAAGACAATCGTTATTTTGTCTTTCTTCAAAGTCGTTAACATGCCAAATACCAAATATTTCCATTTAAAATGTAAGCCTATTTGAAAATTGTGTCTCAGTATGGGGGAAGGCGGTGGGGTGGTGAAGTGATGAGGCATCGCTTGGGAAATCTCAGGTCTTGAACCTGATATCTTAAAATAGCAAACTCAGCTCTGAGAGGGGTTGGACTAATTCACCCCCTTTTTCCCTAAATTGTACTCAATTTCTTTGGGTATTTATCCTGAGAATTGTGTAGGGAAATGAAAAGGACAGAATTTAAGCAAGAGCTAAGGAAAATTAGACTTGCAAGACGAATTTTCAAAAAAAATCATTCTTATCCCGCTCTTTTCTATCCCACGCTGACCGACTTTTAAAAGCACATTTTTACCTGCCGATTTCCGTGGAAACCAACCAAAAGAAGGATGGCAATACCATTTCTATGTGAATTAAATGTCTGGTTTTCATTAGGCCAACACTGTTTTTCCTACAAGGCCTTAGTGTTTAATAAACAACAACCTCAGTAACAGTTCCTACAGGGTAGTTTAATTTAAAGGTGCCTAACTTATATACTTCACCCAACTGCTTTCAAAATCCGTCAGTCCTTCATGGTGGAAGTTAAAATATCATCTTTACCCTGGCCCTGGTTCTGCATCAGGAGCCTGACCCCGGCAGGGCAGTGCCACGAAGTCACGCTTTTTATGTGATGTGCATGTTGCTGTGCACCTTGCCTGCAAAGCAGGACCCGTGCTTTAAAACCGCCAAGAGCCCGTGCGTGCCGTGTCTTGAATTGCCAGGCTCGCAACTTGGGCACCTAAGCAGGATGCTTTTTTTCTCCCTTTAACGCTAAAAACATAAAGGAAAAAAAAGCCCTAAACAAATCCTATAGGCATTAAAACCGCCCGAGAACCTAGGGAAAGCGTGCCAACCACACAAAGAAAGTAGGGGGGCTATTGGGATTCAAAATAATTTCCCCGGGACGAACATCCTCCTGGACCTATCGGAGTTAACTGCGCGCTTGGTCGTAGCTAATAGACACGGTATTTCTGGTTCAGGTCCGCCCTCAAGACTGATAGATATTTGTGCAGTCCAATGGAATCATGCGATGTTAGAAAAGTAACCAATACATTTGGGAGGTGGGTGGAGTGTAGGCCAGGGGGTTGGCGGTGCCGTGTCATGGAGGCTCAGTCTCTCAGCAGCCATTGAAGGGGAAGGAACTGCGGGTGTGTATGTGTGTGTGTGCATGTGAGTGCGCGCGCGAGTGTGTGGACAAGGAGGTGTTGGCAGCCGAGTTAGAGTCCCAACTCCTTGGACTCCATTTGCTATTCTCTTCTTCCTTCCCCACACCTATCTGGTGGTGGTGGTGGGCGTTTATATTTGCGTTTCTTTTCATTCATTTCCAAATCTTTTACAATTTGAGGGTTGGGGGTAGTGGGAAAGGCAGGAAAGGGTAACCGAGGAGAGTAGTAGCAGAAGAGCAGGAGGAGGACATGGAGATGAAGAAGAGGATTAACCTGGAGTTAAGGAACAGAGCCCCGGAGGAGGTGAGATGACTCAGCCCCCTCCCCTTCCCCATCAGCCCAGTATTCGGAGGATCGGGTTTCGGGGGGCCTCGGTGGGTGTGTGGGGAAGGGTCATGAATTAACCCCCACCTGGGATTGGGGGAAATATTTAATTTGAAGTTTTAAATCATTAAAATCTTTTACTTAAGATGGCGAAGGGTTTAAGTTTCTAGGGGGGGGGGTTTGCGTGTGCATGGGGGGCTTATTCCCTTTCTCCTTTCTTCGAGTCAGGCGTCCTGGCCTTGTGGGGGCGGGAAGCAGGGTGTTGGGGCTGGTCAGCTCTCGAAGGTCCCCCTCCTGGAGGCGGGCGGCGTGGGCGCGACCCCTCAAGTCCCACTCGACCCTGCCACAGCCATCGTCGCCTGAGAACTTAGTCCAACTTTTCTTCAGTGCTGCCAACTCTTTTTTTTTTTTTTGGAGTGGGGGTGCCCCCGGCCTCAAGGACCCTGGGCGTCCGAGGTCGTCGTGCCGGGCCTGGGCTGGGGTCTCTTGCGCAGTTGGCGACCACCCGCTGCCGGTGGCGCCCACTCCCCCGGGGAAGCGGCGCGCGTCGACCGCGGCAGGCAGAATCTGGGTCAGCGGCCGATTCTCCGGCCGCGGGTAAGTTTTGGGGACTCGTCGTTGTAATTGGAGGCGGGAAGGGGACTCAAGGAGTAATCCCCCCGCGGTGTAACTATATTCGTCTTGTGGTGGCCGCAACTCCGAATTTGATCCCTCGAGGCAGTTTCACAAAACTCAACAAATGGGTCGTTGGGGTTTTGTGCTTTAAAGATGGGTTCGGCGAAACTAAATGATGCGCGCTCGCCGCTGTCGCCTTAGTTAAAGAGACGTGTTGGGAGGGGCCACGCGAGGCGTCGTTGCGGTCAACTTTTGGAGGGTCAGGCGGGAGGCGTTTCTGCTTCCTTTCCGAAGGTGCCTCTGGCTTCATCCAGCCCTTGCCGCCCCGGGCGGAGGCACTGGGGAACGCGGTTTGAGAGGTGACCCCTTTTTTGCGTAGAGAGTCCCCGCCCCTTGTGGGGTTTCCCGTCTGGCGGAGCTGCAGGTCGCCAGAGCGGGCCTGGGACCAGCGAGGAACCTCACACTTCTGATCTCAGAGGAAAGCATCGAGAGTCTTGCTCTCTGCAGCCTCTGAGATAAATCCAAGAATTGGGATATAGGGACATAATTTTTTCAGCAGAGGGGAGGCGGTGCTTGTGCGTACCAGCATAAAGGATAAGTAGGGTCTCTGGTGGTGGCATGCAGAGTGGGAACCCAAGATCTTTATGTACTTAAAAAAAAAAAAAGGTTTTTTCCTCTGAAATTGGCAGGTGGCAGGAAGGAGGAAACAGCCACTATTATCTCAGAAAGAACTGGAAGTTTTCTAGGGGATTCAGAAAAAACAAAATCAAACTTAAAAAGCTGTCTCTCAGGTACACACCGTTAGAATGCTTTTTTCTGTCTTGGGACGGGAGAGTGGATTCCCCGCCCCCACCACCTCCATTCTTTTACCTACCCTATCGTAGTGATTTCCTTTCCAGTTTTGGCGAGTGCCGGATGTAGCCTTTTTGCAGCGTCTCCTTCCTCCCCTATGGTGTAATAACGGTCTCTTGTATTTGCATAGTTTTTTTTTTTTACAGTTTACAAAGGACTTTTCCTCTTTGCTATTTACTCCTTTAGACAAACTGGTAAGATGGATTGTATTAGCGTAGTCTCAGGACCGTGCAGTTATTTACTCAAGTGGAAGAACTGGTTTTCTGACACCAAATCTAGTGGCCCTCACCTCTGTCAGCTAGACTAGGAGTCAGGAGACTTAGAGTTGAGGCGTAGTGCTACCCCATTCTGTGTGACATGTGGCTTCCTCATCTCTAAACAGATCATGATGCATTTTCTGCTCACTGACGTAATTATGTAGAAGTCATTTTCAAATAGAGAAGGTGGCATACTTTGTTGCTAATTTTGAGCTCTCAAAATACTTCAAACATATTGGGAATGGACAGTTCAGGTCGCTTGCTTCCCCCTTAAGATTAGGTCCATTTAGGCACACATAAGAAAGTTTTGTTATACAACTCTTACCTAATAGAGGATCCAGCTGCTACCCACCCCATCCCGAGAATGGAGAGAAGGTCACAAAAATGCTACTAAAATGGCAGAGAGAAATAACATTTTGTCAAGGATGTATTGTACTGGGTGATATTGTTTGGCCTTGATATTAGAACAAATAACATCCGAAAGCTGGGCTGTCTCAGAAGGAGCTTTCTAACATTTCTTCATGGAGGGTAACAAGGTATTTCTGAGTTATGGTGGCATTTATCAACCAAAGAGAAGGGGGTTTAAACTGAAAAAGTGAATAAAACAGCGTCCTTTCTTCTCTCCACTGTTTTAGAGCAGCTCACTTGCATCCTTTTCCCGTAACCTTGGTGTCCCCTCACTGCATAAATATGTGCCCTGATGTTGAGAGTTCTCATCATAGTCAGAAACAAGTGTCACATGGGACCTTTATCAAAGTTTTTTTTTAATGTATCAGTGATTTGAAGCAGGCATTAAACTTCTTAGTCCACACTTAAATTTGAAAGATTAATTGGTGATTTTAATATTTACATTTCAAGAGTGTCA